TTGGTAGAGTCATTAGGATGGATGGTAATAATTATATCAATCTCCTTGAGTTTATCCATACCCTTTAGGTTTTCATGTAACTTAGACTTCCTAACTGGTTAAATATTTTGTATCAGTTGCCTCCCCTTTTTTCGAATTTGCTTGTCAAACTTAGGGAAACATTAAGTCACCTTCACTCTCCTTTTCCTAACTGAAAGTCGTTTTGAAGATAATATTTTGCCCCCAATCAATATAGGTTATTCGAGTAGTACCCTTAACTGGATGTTGGGCTTTAATAAAGGAATGAGGTGTAGTCGGTATCTCACCCCTTTAAGAAGGAACAATTACAAGCTTCATTCCGCTCGAGCCCTTATAATACAGGGTACTTTGATTCGAGTCCTTTTTAATACGGGGATGACAAATATAAACTTTAGTCAGCTCAGACCCTTATAATATAAGACACTTTGATTTCTATCCATTTTAATACGGGGACGACAATTACGAGCTTCACTCAGCTTGGACTCTTATAATATAGGGCACTTTGATTTTGATCATTTTTAGTACGAAGAACCACAATTACAAGCTTCACTTAGCTCGAGCCTTTATAATACATGACACTTTGATTTTGATCCCTATTAATACGAGGATGACAATTACTAGTTTCACTGAGCTCGGGCCCTTATAATATAGGGCAAGTTAATTTCGATTCCTTTAAGTGCGGGGAATGACAATTATGAGCTTTAAGTATTATATGAGATATGCTAAAAATACTGAAATATGTTTTGAATTGTGTAATTGCTAGAAAATTTCAATTTCAAAGGAAAATTGGACTACTTTATTGAACTCCAAAAATTTTTAATTTTTGGGCACAATATAGCCCCGAATGTTATCTTCGTCTGAACTCTAATTTTGCGTCAATCAGAGTTCCAAACAATGTTTGTTGGTCTAGATAAATCTGTCTTAGAAAACAACGAATTTGAAGGAAAATCGAGTTGCCTTACTGAACTCGAAAAATTAAAATTTTTGGACAAAACGTATCCCTAGATGTTAGCTTCATCTGGAGCTAATTTTGCATCAATCAGAGTTGAATAGAAAGAGATGACCAAAACCGTGCCTGCTGGTCTGGATAAATTTGTCACAAAAAAACCGCAACTTTGAAGGCAAATCAGACTTCCTTATTAAAATCCAAAAATTATAATTTTTGGATATAAGTAGCCCCAGATGTCAGCTTCATTTGGACGCTAATTTTACATAAATCGGAGTTGTATAGAGGGAAATATGGTCAAAATAGTTCCTACTAGTTTGGATAAATTTGGGTTACGAATTTTCAATTTTCAGCCATCTTTAATGGTTGATTATGACATATTATAATTTACCAAATATTCACTTCTAAAGAGTGTAGAAAACTCTAGGTTCGGTCTGAATCATGATTTTTTTTTTATTAGTACACGTTCCCACAGAAAACACCAACTGTTAATGCAAAAATTAGCATGGCCCGAAGCTGGGGGCCATTCCTATATGACAAGCCGGGTACACTGCAAAAGTGACTACTGGCATAGTGCTAGCCGGGTACATTGCAAAATTAGAAAAAGTGACTACTGGCAGAGTGCTAGCCGTGTACACTGCAATGCTGACCGTGCTAATTTTTGATTCAACATCTTCAATTTCTACACAATTAAAATATTGAATAAAGTTGTCAAACAACACTAAACATATATGGACAATACTTGCTTACTTACCGGTGAGTAAGTCATTCCTACAAATCGCTGATGTGGTCTAATTACAAAATCATAAAAGTAATAAATAATGGCAATAACTTTGTTTGGAATAAAATTAAGTCACCTTATTTAATTTTCTTATTTATCACTTTCTTAATTTTGTAATTGCATCATCAAATTAATAAATAAGGATAATAACTTTGTTTGAAATAAAATTCAATCACCCTCTCTAATTCTTTTATTTATCACTTTCTTGAATTTGTAATTGTAGATTATATGTGCATTTATAATTGAACCACATCAGCGATCAGTAGGGTAAATAGACAAGTCTTGTCCAACATATATATATATATATATATATATATATATATATATACATATTAATTTTGATAGATAAATCACATACACCCATTGGTCCAATGGGAACTTAAACTCACAATCTCTATTTGTAAGGAACACGAGAGACCAATAGGATTTAGGGCCAAGTAATCACAAATTAACAATATTTGACAACCATCTACAAAAATGAGATATTTTATATTTTAAAAAGGGTTGAAGTGCAAAAAAAAAAAAAAAAAAAAAGACCTTGTTGTTTGAAAAAGTTGCAAAAAAAACCCCCTTATGTTCAAATTCCACTACTATAATATATAAACTGTGCAAATAAGGACTTAATTGTCATATAAATAAAATGGGATAAACGTAAAGACTAAAATGCCCTCCACGATTCCCCGAAAAAATAATAAAAAAACTTAAAAGTTGAAATTACTTGAGGACATATTTATACATTGGGGAAATTATTATTTTTTTTTTAATTTTTTTTTTGCGCCATTTTCAATTTAACCCACAAATAAAGAAAATAAAATTTAAAAAATGAACCAAAAATTATATGTAATTTGTCGGTATTTATTACTTAATACATATATTGATCAATGAGAACATTTATGAAAAACTATTTATATATATCTAAGTCGGTAAAAAATGATCAGGAACGTGTAAATTTACTATAGGTAGTTAATATAAAATAATTAAAGTAAAAAATACATGTCTAATATGTATAACAAGGGGTCTGTGTTTGGTGGGATGATAAAAGTTCATGCAATGACGAGTATGCTAGTTCAAGTCTCAGATCAAGTAATTACGGAGTATATATTTTGTATAAACGTATTAGTATTGCACTTTATATGTATATATAAGTGGAGAAATGACATAAAATGGCATTAAACTCGAAAAATACCAGACAGCAAAATGATATTATACAGTATACTGAATAAATTTATATTACAAAGATTAAAATACATGACTAAATTTATATTACAAAGATTAAAATAAATGACTTGCTTGAACAGTTGCTAAATATATAATATGACATTTTAGTGGATCAATTTAGGCACAACATGATGCATCAACAATTTCTAAATATATAAAATATTTATATGTAGAGAGAAATAATAGAAATAGAGGGTATATTATATATAGAAATGAGGGAGGGACAGTTTGGGAATACAAAAAGAGTAGATATTGAATTAAAGAGGTCACATGATGCACACATGGCCTCTACTTTGCACTTTTTATTGCCAGAAGCCCTTATTTGCCCTAGTTTCCAATGTCGCAACTATGTCAAGCAACTTTCCTTTTCACTTTCCAAATTTGAACTAAAGTGTTTTGGTGCTATAAGTGAAACCAATCATTTTAAATGTAGGGGCTAAGCCATTTTTTGTCAAGGACCTTGAAAATATTTGATTTATATTTGAAGCATAGTGTCACGCCCCGCTTATGGAGGTTGTGCCACGCAGGCGACACGCAGACACTGAGGAGGACGCTGCCTGGCAACTGCATGGCAAGTGGAGTTTCTAGAGTCTTCCGGAATAGTCTAGAGTTATGTGGAAGATTCTAGATATGTGTAGAAATGTGTAGAAGTGTGTGGAAGGTTCTAGAGTTCTCCAGAGTTTTGTGGAGTAGTATGGAGAATTCTAGAATGTTGTAGATACTAGTAGATAAGTATGGAATTGTGAAGAAGGTGGGAGAAGATTCTAGATAATCAATCTCCACCGTTGGCTAGAATGCATCCTAGCCGTCCATTAGGGATGGGGATGCCTATAAATAGAGGTAGGACTTCATTTTGTAGGGAACAAGTCCTAGAGTGAGTCTTGAGAGCCTTGTAGAGAGCTTGAGTGCTAGCCTTGTACAAAGCATTCTTTGAAGTAATAGAAGTGTTCTTTCCTTGCCAACTTAAGTGCCTTAGTGTGTGTGAGTGTGCAAGCCAAGTGAGGAGAGGGCGAGGGCAACTACAACACTAGTAAGCGCACGAGGGGAGTGTGTTGGCTAAGGTGTGCACGGGAGTTAGGCTGACCAAGTACTTGCGAGAGTGAAAGCAACGTCTTGGTGCCGCACGGGAGCAGCTGGAGTGGTGTTGAAACTCTAAGCCCGTGACAATAGGGTCCACATTTTAATTCCTAAGGGTTGAGCTTTGAATCAACGACATCTATTGAACAAGTTAACGTAAAATACAATAACTCAATATACGACTTTATGCTTCACAAGTTAACCTAAAATATAATTGAATAATCGTGTCAGAAACCCTTGATACGAACACAACTCATTTATTAAATTAATTAAACGAGCAACTTGTTTGAATTTAATTTAATCGGGTCATGTAACCCATATTTATTTAAGTATAAAAAGATAAATATACAATGAAAATTTTGAAATAATAGAAAATAAAATTCATGAAAATGATAATAATTTGGACAAAACAATTATAAAAAAGGGCAAAATATAATATCCATTGTTCTTAAATTTATATGAAAATAATATAAATATTTATAATAGTAATTAAGTTAAAATATGTTACAAGTTAATTGAGTTAACCTGACACGATTAATTAAATGAGTCTAAACGGTTAAAGAGGCTGAGTTCCAAAATACGAATACAACATGATTAATTAAATGGGTAAACGAATTGACAAAATTATGTGATTCAACAGGATTAAAATCAAACTAGACACGATTAAGATCAAACTAGACCTACTAATTTCGTATCGTGTTTTGAGTCGTTGACATACCATATTAACAAGGACATTGCAATATCAATGGTTGTCTCTAGGTTAGGTGAACTAAATTAGTTTAATTTATATACAAATATTTTAAGTTTTTTATATAAAATATTTGAAGTTTTTTTACCTTGGTAAAAAAGTCAAAAACACATTACTCCGATGGTAACTTGAACCGTGGATCTTATATTTAGAAAGGTGAAAAAACACTACTAGGCTAGGACGCTTATTCCTAATTTACGAGTCTTGCTTAATGATGTAATATTAAGGAAAATATTATTAGAAATCAACTGAATAATATTACAATTTGAAGCTGTCTCCAGTCTCCACTGACTCAAGAAAATAAAAACCCAAACTCTCATCAAGCATTTCAAGCCTGCTTCCTTGTATCTGGAAACAAAGGTTGCTTGTGGAAACAAATAACATATAGAATTGATCCATATGAATAATTACATAATAGGTATATATAACCATCTTATTTCTCTGTTTCATTCTCTCCCCATCAAATCACCACCCCTCTTATTTTATCAGAAAATTGGACCAGCTGCAAGGATCTCCTCAGTCAGCTTGCTGTCTGTTCCAATCTTATAGTTCGCGAATATCTCGAAGTTCTTCTTGAACAGACCTCCCAACTTCAATAAGGAGTCGTTGTAGGCCTTCTTGTCAGACCACTGCAATTCGAAAAAAAACCCGAAGCAATGTTGAAACTCAGAACAAAACTCACATCATGATAGAGGTTGAAGAAAGAGCGAAAAAAAGAGAGTGAAATGAAAGTGGCATACAGTGTTTATCGGATTCAGGATTTCTGAAGGTACGCCCTCAACTTGGGTAGGGATGTCAAGCCCAAACACTTCAGTGTTGGTGTAGTTTTCCCTCAGAAGAGACCCCGAGTGTATAGCATCGATGATCTTCCGTGTGTAAGCTAACTTGATACGACTGCCTGATCCATAGCTGCAAAAGAAGGAGAATTCGATCAAATTTCACTCTCAAAATTGGAAGGCATTATGGATACTTGTTTTAGTACAAGTTTGTACCTTCCGCCAGACCAGCCAGTGTTTACAAGCCACCCGGTAGCTCCGTGCTTCTTCATCTTTTCAGCTAGCATGGCTGCATACTTGGTAGGATGAAGCATTATAAAAGCTGCACCAAAGCAAGCTGAGAATGTCGCCGTTGGCTCCTTTATACCATCCTCTGTTCCGGCCACCTATATTCATTAACAAGACATAATTAATAAGGAAATGTTAGCCATTGTTTGGATTAATCGGGAGTTCAGTTTCAATGAGAGTGTACGTACCAGAGCAGTGTAGCCACTGATGAAATGGTACATGGTCTGGGCCAAATTCAACTTGCTGACCGGTGGCAGCACACCAAATGCGTCGCAAGCCAGAAGGATGACATTCTTTGGATGGGGACCAACACACGGTATTTTGGCGTTGGGAATGTACTCAATTGGATATGCTGCCCGAGTATTCTCTGCCATTATTATAAAGAGCTAAGTCACCGTATAAACGAAACGTGTTTCGAAATGTAAACTTTTCAGTTCATTCTAAATCAATTTGTGGTGTATTTTTCAACTTCAGCTTGGTCTAATTACTATAAATTACATAAGCCAACTGCATATATATATATATATAAGAGGATCAAGTGTAGAATGACCGATTCCATGCTTATATGCAAACTCACATCCCTGTGAGATCTGCCTGGTCCGACACTAAAGATTTAAGAAAAAAAAGGGGGATAATTTTGCACCTAATTCATGTCTATGATTCAATTTATACCTGTGACAGATTTGTCGGAGTAATCCACTTCTCGATAGTGCTCATCAAACACCACATTTTCCACAACTGCACAAAACCAACAATCATATAAACTCCAATGTAACAAACCATATTTCAATAGAAAACAATACCATCAGCACCATAGATTTTCTAGAATGAGGGGTTATACCAGTTCCGAACTTGATAGCATTCCAGATATCAGGCTCCTTCTCCCTTGACAGATCAATGCACTTCGCGTAGCAACCACCCTCAATGTTGGACACACCATTCTCGCTCCAGCAGTGCTCATCATCTCCAATTAGATACCTATTATGGTCCGTAGACAGTGTTGTCTTGCCGGTACCTAAAAATAAACATAACCAAAAGGAAGTTCATCAGTGACAAAGCTTACAGAAACTGATACGAAAGAGAAAAAATGCACAAACAAGACGACAAGTCACAATTCCTTGTTGCAATGCGATCTCATGAAACTATACCTGATAGTCCAAAGAAGAGGGCGACATCGCCACCTTTCCCCATATTGCAGCCAGAATGTAGGGAGAGGATTTGACGCTTAGGCATGAGATAGTGCATTACGCTGAACAGACCTTTCTTCATTTCCCCGGCATACAGGGTGCCGAGGATGACCATTTCCCTCCTAGCAAGATTGAGGTCTATGCTAGTCGAGGAAGTCATATAATGGGTGTAACGGTTACAAGGGAATTGCCCGGCATTGTATATTGTGAAGTCTGGAGTACCAAAATCCTCCAGCTCTTCAGGAGTGGGTCGGATACACCTGCACCCACCCAGTTATGTCATACATACGATTAAGTTACTACATTTTTCATCTCGCCATATTTCCTCCCATTTACATATATATATAGACTTCTTATTGCCTGCTAAAGCTGGTAGACTTGTAAATATAGGGGACCGAAAATTATCACGAGTTCTTATCTGATGAAGCTTAACATTTATTAAATGTAGAATAGATGCAGGAAGAATTCTGACATGTATTTTTGCTTCATTTACTTACATGTTGTGCATGAACAAGGAGTGGTAAGCCCTGGCAGATACAATTCGGACTTTGATTCGGTGTTCCGGGTCCCAATTGAGAAATTGATCGTTCACAAAAACCTGAAATTGCAGATTCATGAGCTGAATAATAACCATTTGTTGTATCGTAAATCTAATCATTCGGCAACGCTTCAATTATCCATATCATAGCCGGGATCGATCAATCATATCATCAAAAACTTATATGTTGAACAATTAGTAGAGATAGAATTACATTACCTATGACAAAAGATTCTGGTTAATTTGGATGGAGCTAAGTTACATGCAAATAAAATTAGTGCTTGTACTATTTGAAAAATAAAACAAAACAAAACAAAAAAAGCACATGCAGCCACAACTCTATAGCCACGCCTCATACTGTAGTATTAAAGCTACAGTGGTAGGTCCTGCTGAACAGTGCTTACCACTTAATGGTCCTTCATTTCTATCCTATAGACCTAGAGGAGGAAGTGCACGTGCATAAAAACAACACCAGACAATGAAACCAAAGGGCTTTTGGCCTAACGGTATGACCCCCTTGCCCTCAAAGAAAAGTGGAGGGGTTTGAGCCTGGACGTGGGCAAAAGGGTGTGTTTTTGTTTTACCATTTGCGGGGGAGATGGGGTCTGCTGGCAGGTAGAAGGTTATAGGTAAAGCCTAAATTGTCATAATTGATTTTGCAGAAAGATGAAGCACATACTTAAGCTGACCACTATGGTGTGTGTGTATATTGATAGGCCCAAAACTGAAGTCCAAATTGCAGAAGTTTTTATCAATTTTTGATCTATGACAAATTTATATGGTTTTAAAAGATTATATAAAAATAATAAATATTTTGAAAAAAGACTATTTTTCGGTGCAATGGTAAAAAAGTTTGGTCTGACAAGTGCGAGTGGACGGTGAAATACTCTATTCAATAGAGTTGAAAGTTAGGTCCATCTTCGGCCAATCCTCTGAACACATCCGCCAAGACATTCAAATGAAGTTTTCAACGCTGACCAGAATCTTCACACAATCCCTCTCAGCACATTGACAGAAACAGGACCTAGCCAATTACAAGCTCTCAAACAATCAAATGTGTCAACTTTATTCAACTTTTTAGTTGCGTGGCAACTTGTGATAGATACGAATCATCTAATAATTTGTTTTTCAATGTTAATCCAAAAATCTGTGGCCAAGTACATGAATGAGAAAGAAGGGAAAATATATGCTTGGCCAAATTAATATGCGATGATGGCCTTTCCACAGTTTAAACCATTCAGAGGTCCATATAATTTGGTCCACTTTCTCTAAAAATGTCAGGTTTTAGTTCTAGTTGGGATGTCAATTGTCGACCTTTAGATATCCAACCAAGGATCATGACTGCCCCTGAAAGAGTAACCACTGAAACTAAAGGAGAAAATCAGATTAGGTATCCATTTCTCCTTCAACTATTCCTTTAGGCTCTTGCAGTTGCATATCGGGACCCATTAACCATGCTATATATATATATATATATATATATATAATATGGACAGAGGTGTAGCAAACATTGCCAGATGATTTGTATGACAAGGATGGGTCGGTCCAAAGAATCCAAACCGATTCATGATAGTTACGTCAATTTAAGAGAAATGAGACAAGCTAACAGCCGTCAGTGCATCGTGACAAAACATGGGGATAAGTCCATACAGAATGGATTCTTAATTCCTATCCATATGAAACTATATTTAGTATCTACATAAATATAAATTTATTAGTTATACATATAATTATTCCGAGATTATAACATGGTTCTTGACCAGTCACTACGTGACACGTAAATAAATATATTATTATTTTTAAATATACAAGGGTCCCAAAAAACTAGTAAGCAAATAAAATATTTACAAAACAACATGGTCTCCTTGCACATGATGATGAAAGACAAAACAAAATGGAAGAGCATTGAGTGTAGATGGAATAGGAATATACTATGACAAGCTAGCCAAATGATGTACACAGTATAATTCAATATATTATATAAATCATATATGTATATAAATATAAATACATATACAAGTTTAGAATCATATACCTTGTCCAAGGAGCACAAGTAATCCACAGCTCTTTCTCTGTTGACCAAGAAAGTGTGTTCGTCCATTTCAATATTGGGTGAGCCCCTATTAAGGAAAATAATTTACATCATTAATGTCATATACATATTTACCTTGGCAAAAAATTCACACGCTTACATTGATCTTGTAAGAACTTCAATTCTCAGTCCATTATTTAAAAGGTGATGAAGTATTATTGAACTTCCCGTGACATATTAAGTAAAGGTGATCGAGTAGAATATATATAAAAAAAATAGTTACTCACTTTCCCCACCAAAGCTCATCTGTGGTGGTCTCATCTTTGACAACGCGCTTGTCTCTCGGTGACCGGCCTGTCTTTGCACCAGAGAGTGTGGCTAAGGCGCCACTCGATGTTATGAATGACCCTTTTTCGTACTTAATGGCTTGCTCATAAAGCTCTGCATAGCAACAACCATGTTAATTGGGTTAAGCATCACATTAATATCATAGACTCCGTAATTAAGTTTAGTCAATTTCAATTTATAGCTTTTTTTTTTCTTTTGAACTTTTCTAGAATAATCCTACTTACAAGATAGAAATTAATTCTAATTTGTGGAAAAGAGAAAGACGTCAAAGATGCCAGCAAGAGATATAAAGAAGTTAATCTATGACATAATTAAAGAAGTTAATCTCCTCCTACAAGACACGAGAGTTGAACCCTCCACTTGTTAATTTGAAAGGTGAAACGGTACAACTCTTAGTAAAATCCTCTTTTATTTACTTGTGTTACTAATTTGATGAGTAACTTTTTTTTTTTTTTTTTTGTTCGCAAATTACAATCTTAGAAAATTTTAAATTCTGTGCTTTCCATTTTTCTTCTAGAAAAAAAGAAAAAAGAAAAAAAAGAAAGAAAGAGATACTACTAAACTATATGTTTTGGAGATGACATGATAATTATTAATTAAGCTGCTTATATTTTATATGCAAAAGAAAATTCTGATAGTTACTCATCATTAATATCATAGGACAGTCTATTAAATTTTATAAAATGACAATTTTATCCTTTTCTTACTCTATTACTTACCCAATATTTATTTATTTATTTATTTTATTATTATTATTATTATTTTTTCAATCATAGATTCATAGTCTCATGAGGAATTAGTCTAAAATGGAGATAAAAAGGTCCACCTTTATTACCGTAAACATGTACTAAATTTTTTTATATACATATAAGACATGCACAATATACCAAAGAGTCTTTGTTTAGAGGCATTACTCAATACTTTAGTTCGTAAAGTGCTCAGCTAACTGAGGTATTCAAATCCCTTCCCCAAAATTTGTAAAGATTAAAAAAAAAAAAAAAAAAAAAAAAAAAAAAAAAAAAAATTAGTCTACCTTATAACCTTCCTATTCTTAAAAAGGAGGAGAGGGTTCAATTCCCTGTGTACACTCAGACCATTATGTGTGTAGTGTATAAACATAAGATACAATACAGGAGCACAAGAAAAGACAGAAATAACCTTTTGATCAAAGCAATATCTGGTGCAAAAAAAGAGGAGGGTGGGTGGTGAAAAGAAAAATACCAGCAGGGGATAGATTGTAGAGGATGTGAGTGAACTTGAGGGCACTGTCACTGATGTTGAGACCAGTTGGAGTGTAATGGTGGTGATCATGAGCCACATGCGATGACACTTTTGGAGTTTCTGTCTTCCTCGCTGGGTCTCCTCTCACCACTTTCGGTCCCGTCTCTCTCGTCAGAGATGCCAATGATGCACTGTTTTATTTTAACACACACATCAAATATTTACTATATGCAATTTTAAATTAATTAATGCTATTCAAGACTCAAGTAATAAAATAATAAAAATTGACCCACTATATTTTTTAAAAAAATTATTTAGTTAGTTTAAAAAGCAACACTCCTTCTAAACTCCTAAATATATAAATACATAAAAAAAAAAAAAAAAAAAAAAAAAAACTTTTCAGGATCAGAAAAATTAAGGCTCAGTTTTGATTCGAAAAAAATAGAAGAAAAAAGAAGAAGAAAGAAAATAGAGGAGATTATTTTTGTGTGGGTATATTTAAAAAGAAAAGAAAGATAAATGAAGAATTTGAAGGAGTACATTAAAATTTAATGAATTGATTTTGTTATTATGTAAAAAATAGTAGCAAGTTTTAATAGATCTTTGTTTAATACCAACTTTGTTCTTTAAGCGGCTTATTAAATTCTTCCGTAATAGTGCTAAAATTAAAAGTGCCTTTTCTTAAATCTTCCTTAACATTTTTATTTTTATTTTTATTTTATTGTATATAAAAAGCAAGAAGAATAGTTTATTAAAACAATAAAGTTGATTAGTATTATTTATACTACTAGTAATATATTAACAATCAAAAAAGCCCTTTTTAAGATGCGTAATTAACTTAAAATAATATTATTTTTTACCCCCTTGGTACCATAATCTCGGTAAAGCTAGTTGTCTTTTTGATAGGGACAAAAGAGACAAAGCACATCGTTTCCTGTTTCTTCCATTTCTTTCAAATACGTACCTGATAGACTGGAGTTGCTGTTTCTGGCGCTCTTCGTCAGAAATGGCGGCGAAAGCACCCTGAGTGCCCTTGATAGGCGTAGTTGGCGCCGATTTCTTCCTCTGGAGCGAATGCAACTCGTCGATGGTCTGAGCCTTCACCGTCGGACCACTGTCGTCGTGACACACCTCGTCCTGCTTCTTCGTCTGAATCTTCGAAAGCCCGTTCCGGCCACTCCCATTGTTGCTCGCAGCAAAGCTAAACTCTCCGTTTCCAACTCCGCTCGCCGCCATCTCTTAATTTCCTCTCTGCACTATCACACAACTATATATCATCATCTTCGACATATACATATACATATACACATACACATAATTAAATTAATGAAATTAAACTAATAAATTAATTAATTAGAGAGTAGAGATAAGATTGAGAACGAACCAGAGAAGATGAACGTGAGAGAAATAAGGTAGAGAGAGAAACTCTAGTGAGAAATGGAGGAGAGAGAGAAGTGTTTGATCATCAATGAGTACGAGAATGGTTTTGAAATTCTTGAAGTTGCAAAAGATGGGGATTAGAGAGTACAGAGGTGTCACGTTTTATAGGCTTGGTTTCACGAAGAGGCTGAGTTAACCATGGTTATTTTAACCACGGTTGGCTTAACCTTAGCTTGAAGTACTAGATAAAGATTTTTTTTTTTAATAAATAAATAAAAAATAAGAGAAAAAGGTGAAAAGGTGTAACTGTCTAATTAAACGCCGAAACGGAATCGGAAATGAGACGGTGGCACTAACCATGAAACCGAGTGTCAAAGCTAAGTCTGAGTCGTCGGATGAAGAAAATGGAACATACTCGCTTCTTTTATTGCACACGTGTTGCTTTCAAGTCTTGGAAGCTTATTTTAGACTGTTACGTCATCACATAAACATAGGATTAGATTTCCCACCAATCTTGTCAACTTCAAATTATCTTTATTTTATTTTATTTTTTTCCCAAACTATTTTATTCATAGGTGGTATATATATATATATATAATTATTCTTTTGAAAGCTAAAAAGTGTTAAATGTTATATTAGTTAATGCAAATAGTCGAATCTCGACACTTCAAGATTCAAATGAGATATTAATTTATTGGATTATCGAGTTAACTGCGTAGATGGTAAAATTAGTAGTCCCTTGATTCAATGATTGAAGATGTAGAATTCGGATTCTTACATTTTTAATACAATTTAATTTAATTTTAATATATTATTTTACGTTGAAAGTAATGGTATCGAAAATCAAAAATGTTGCATTAAAAATATGCAAGTAAATTTAGTTTTAACACATTAGTGCACTGCAAAGAATTTGACTCAAAAATGTGAACACGCAATGAGAATGCTTCCTCTGATAATTAGTATATTTCATGATTTTTTTTTTTTTTTTTAAAACTAATGTTTTATTGTTATGATCTTTTTTATTGATATAACACACTTATGGACTCTACTTAATATAATATAATCTATCTTTTTTAAAAGCCAAAAGGGAGGTTGAGTACTAGTTTGAGCTCTCTTAAAAATATTGTAAATGTGTATACATTTACTTAAACTTTTGTGGAAGGACCAAAAAAAATTGATAGTATGACATATTATGTGATTGTAATTGTAGTGAATCTTGACTTTTCCAAGAAAGAGAAAAAAGAAAAGAAAAAAGAAAACATCTCCGCTCTATATCTTATTTTATTTATTTTGTAAATTATAGTGATCTCAAGTCTTTTAAAATATTCACCACCATTATCACACCAACAACACCACCACCACCAAAATATATGCGTTTCTTTCAAAAGAAAATCCCATGAATTACTCATTCAACATGGTTTTTTTTTTTTAATAAAAAAAAGAATAAATAAAAAATAATAATTTCTTATCTATCTAATCACTAATCTTATCTTAGAGGACTACCTTGTTTTTAATTTTGAATTTAATTTTGAAAAGAGCCTAGTCACCTACACGTGTAAGGAGTAATGTAGTGGTATTTTCCGTTGGTAGTGGGTTGGCAAATTTATGAATAACGTTGAACAGAAAATGTTATCCACAAAAACACAGTCAAATGGTATAGTAGTGGGTCACAGGTCAGCTCTCTGTTTCTGACAATTTAGGTCCAAAAAACTCAACTTATGATCAGATACACTTTAAAATCTAACAAATGCTAATTCTTAGTATGGTATGTTGTTGTTGGAAATGGTGGATCCAAGATAGACTTGTTCCTGTATTATCCTTGAAATCACGTCATTTTACTATCAACCGAAGCAATTGCCCTTATTTGTTTAAATGTTCTAAAAGTCAAATTTGGGTGCAAATGGGAACAAAAATATTAAAGTTAAAGTAATTACAGAATTGTTGTTTATATAAATCAGCCGAAATTATCTCAAACTTTAAATTATTTGCTTTAAAGTTATAGGTGATAATTTTAAGTTGAATTTTTAAATAAAATTTACAATTTTTCATATTTAAGTTCTCACGAGAAATGTAAATTAAGTGTATAAATCACTTACATATATTAATCAAACGAATAGATGTTGAAGTCGCAAAACGAGAAAATGATATATATATACGAGAAGTGTAAATTAAGTGTATAAATCACTTACATATATTAATCAAACGAATAGATGTTGAAGTCGCAAAACGAGAACATGATATATATATACGAGAAGTATATCATTTTCTCGTTTTGCGATTTCAACATTTTCTCGTTTTGCGACTTCAATTTGATTAATATATGTAAGTGATTTATACACTTAATTTACACTTCTTGTATATATATATCATTTTCTCGTTTTGCGACTTCAACATTTATTCGTTTGATTAATATATGTAAGTGATTTATACACTTAATTTACACTTCTCGTGTGTGTGTGTGTGTGTATATATATATATATATTTTCATGCGAGAAAATAAAATCAAAAGTATAAGACGATGTGACGAGTTTTAGGAAAGTATAGAAAGAATAGATGTTTAAGTTGGTTGTTTATAAAACCTCATGTATTATTTTATTTATTTAGGTAATAAATACACTTAATTTATCAAAAATTGTAAATTATTCTTTAAGATAAGTAGACATTTTAGATGTTAAAAGGTGACACATGGACTAATTGTTTTGACAAAATTACACATACACACACAATTTACCATTTACAATTATTTTACAAATAAGAAATCCAATGTGTTTATTGCATGAGTAAGAGTGTATTTGTCAAAACAACATATCAATAAGGCCGTATCTATCATCAAAATGGGGGAGGCTTAAATACGGACATATTCGTTTGAAAAGTTGAGCGCTCTACCAATTAAGCTCAGGGGCGAATTTACATTACGATTAGGTACCCCTCAATAATTTTTTTAAAAACTAAATTACCTTACTAAATTATTCTTTTTCAGCTATATATCCCTAAAATATTCGTATTTCCTCCCTAACTGACCCGTTTTTATAAATTTGACCCTGGCTAGGTGTCACAGGGCTAAATTACACCACAAATTTTTGCCTCAACCGGGGCTAACACTAGGCCACTAAGTAGTGCCCATTAAGAATAGCATAATTAATGCATTAATATATATATATATATATATAGTCAGTATAATGAGACCACTCTTCCATTGAAGGTTTTAGGCGATAATATTAATTGCCTTATGCTATGTTTTGGTAGGAAGAAAATAGAAAGGCTGGCTTGTTCCTTTGTTCGCTAGAAATAATATAAGGAAAGAAAAAATAATAAGAAATATAGGTCATCTTTTTTCCTTCAAAAATTAATAATATAAGGAAAGAAAAAATAATAAGAAATATAGGTCATCTTTCTTCCTTCACAAAATTTCATCCGCTTAAATATGGGCGGAAGATAGAAAAGAAGAAAAGTAACCCTATTATAGAAATTTTAAATTACTATATCACCACTCTTTATAAATATTAGTAAGTGATGAGTTTAATAGTAAAAACAACTTAAAAAATCATTTCTCTCTCTCTCTTTATTTATTATTATTATTATTATCCCACCAACAAATTAAATTGTCATTTTTTTCATTATCTTTCCTTTAACGAAAGAGAGAAACACTTAATATCTTTCCCAATTATCCCTTCTTCCCTCCCTTCCATTCAATTTTTTTTTTCCTTCTTACCAAACAGAGCATTAAGACTTGTCTACTTATTGGTGAGTAGGTCATTCCTACTCACAAATAAACTATAATTACAAAATTAGAAAAATTATAAATAAAGATAATAACTTTTTTTAGAATAAAATTAAATCACCCTTTCCTTATTTATTACTTTTCTAATTTTATAATTAGAGACTGTGTATTTGTGATTGAACCGCATCAAGAAGAATGATCTATGTAGGATGAGTAGAAGTCTTGTCCTTATTCGCTCATGTTATTATCATCCCTAAGTTTAAAAGTGTCTAATTAGCATATTAAATTAAAATTTATCAATTCTAAATTAAAAGCACGTAGTCTCAAAATAAATTAAATAAAACAAATCAACAAGAAGTATATATAGAAGAGCGTAGAGCGCACTCACACTGAATCTGAACCCAGCCTCTCAGAATCTGTCTGTGCATATGGCAGTTGGTGACGGTGAAAGCAATGAAGCAAGAGACGCGTGAAATGTCATGGGGTTACTTTGACTTTTTCTGGAAATAGCCCTCTCTTTCCGTGTTAGGGGGCACATCTTTCAATCAAGATAATTTGTAATTAATAAATAAAAATAAAAGAAAAAAGAAAGATGATTTACATGCAAGGCATTATCTCTTGAGAAGCTTTGACAGCCAATCTAGACATGTGTTATATATATATATATATATATAATATTCTCATAATTAAGAAAGTAATGCACTAAGATATGTCTTTTGAAGCTACTCATTATGAGTTTGACTGTTTGAGGACGTGGAGGACTTAATCCATGCACGACTAAAGAACACCTCAAAAGCGTGTGTATTGATGAGATATACACGTATATCTCGACAAATATTACTTTTATGATTCTTTAGATTTTATTTTATTTTATGTTTGTTCTTATTTTATGAACGAAATGCAGGTATAATACACATTATGAGTGATATATATATTTTTTTCATCCAAAATTTGAATTTATAGGCTTATGATCGTTTTTGAAGGAATAAAGACCACGCTAGCACTTAAGCCAAACCAATTTTGGATCAACCTGATTTAACAAAGAAAATTGAAGGTAACATTGGTTTGGGTTGCTAAATCATCTGTCTTCTGCCGGGTCCCGCCCTATTGGGACGGATTTGAGATCCTACTAATAGGGTTAGAAACAAATTTGAAAAAAGAGTTTAATTCCCATAAAGCTCCGAATCCAACCCAATTAATTATTATTATATAAATAAATATTATCTTATTAGTTATAATTTTAATCCTAACCCACCCTGCCCCGATCGGGGCATCCCAAATCAAATTTGAGAAATTAGTGCCCCGTCTCAAACCCGCCCCTTTTGACACTACCCATATTGTGGAGCCCTTACCCCCTTGAAAAACTTTTTCCTTCTGGGATCCAGTTTGGGAAAGAGATATCTCTCCCATCTTTGGATGGTTACATCCCA